ACCCACGCCCGTCTCGCCGCGGATCATATCGAGATAATTGATCGCAGACGAAGCCATGTGACTCTGTGAAGTGGAAGTGACGCGAGGGAAGCAAGTTCTCGATCTAAGTCAAAACTTATTTCAACATTCTGTTACTCAGAACAATATTTCGGTATAGTACGAAGAACCATATATGTAATACTGTAAGACCTAGATGTTTTCAAACTAATTAAAACTTGGTTATTAAATAAATCAACGCTTATATTTAAGGCGCCTGTTGTTCACGCACCACCCGCAGCACTCCTCACGCCGCACGCCGCCACCCGCCTTTGCGTCACAACCATCTACTGATTGGAAATATTAAATAGATAATGATTAGCATAATATGTAAAAGTGACGGCGCCGAACATTCGCTTACTGTCCGCTGGAATAATTAGCCGCGGCAGTGCGAGGTCAGCGGGCCGGCGGGAGGGGCCGCGCGGGGCTCGCGGCGCATCGTGTCCGCATCAACGGTTTAATACTGTGGGTTGTATAGATTTTCCAAATTTCATAAAGACCCGTTTAACCGTTCGGAGATACGTAGTATAGTGTCCACACGTAGTATAGTGAACACTCATCTATCCATCCAAACTTTCACATTTATAACATAAATGATAATGTTTGTTATGGTTTAAGAATCTTAATAAAAAGAAGAATTAATAAAAATTTACAATTCATTTACTTCATGTAATAACTTATGATAAATATAATGTTTTGCTCAAGCGTACTGACAATTTAACATACATTTACTAAATGCGGGTAGCTACGAAGCATTTTTAAGGTTTTCTTAAGGTCTAGACGCAATCATGAAATTTATAGTATTGGACTTAAAATGAATAATACGACTGACAATAATAAAACTATAGATTATAAGGACCACATCGAAATACATAATTATTTTACTGTTTACCCCCTGTCACTGGAGAGCCTAATTTCAATAGAAAAGACATTGTTTCCTTTCCAGGTTATTTCTGTGCGATCGCAAGCACAGGCCAGTGTCCTGTGGTCTGTGTGACCACTAGGACCACTAGGACCACTGATAGGTAGGCGCGGGCCAGCGCCTCGGAGTGCTGATGCAACCAACCGCTCAATCTCAACAATGTTTGCCAAACAATTACAAAGTAATTAGAACAAACAGATAACCCATAACGTTATCATTTTAAAACTGATTAAATACTGAGTGAATACGTAGTTTAAATGAGTAGCTAATTTTTGCAAAAACAGACACACGTACATATACTGCGTTATTTTTGATTCGACGTATTCCCACTAAGAGGCGATAGAGAGGATCATTCAGGATCATCTTGGCCGCCTGAGCATTATACAAAAGTTACCTTTAGAGTTTCCATGATTTTTAGATTTTTCAAAATAAATAAAAAATGCAACTTTTGGAAAAAAAACTCAGTTGTAACTTAATTATTTCCTCAGATTTATAAAAACTAGGTACTAGCTTGCGCCCGCGACTCCGTTTGCGTATAATTAAAAAAAAATAGTCCATGTGTTCTTCCAGACCATACTCTACATCTATTACAAATTTCATCGAAATCCGTTCAGCCGTTTAGGATACAAACTCTTACAAACATCCATCTATCCATGTACCCATCTAAACTTTCGCATTTATAATATTACTCGTAATAAGATTAAACATTTTTTCTGCAGGCATGGGCACAGTTTTTGAAAAAACTTGTCGAAAAAAATTAGTGTAAAAAAATTTCAGCTTCTCGAAGTTAAAGAAAAAAAAGTTTTTAGAAAGTGTTCAATAATTTTTTTAATATTCTGTTCCAATGTGAGTTATTCCAAAAGAAGGCATAATGGTACGAATGCACAATTAAGCTTGTTCAAGAGAAAAACATAGCTTCTATAAACACATTGTTTTTAACGTACAAAATAAAATAATTTTAAATAACTTTAAAACTATATAAAATCGGGCAACATATGTACATATGTACTTTGCGCTTCAATGATAGCTATTGAGGTTCTCTTCCTTCACAAAGCTTGTAATCCGTCCGTTAACATTTACCTGGATATTTAATGTTAGTCTTAATTCGCAATATTTATAAAACACATTAATATTGCTATAACAATCACACTAATGTGTTTCTAGCACACTTTGTTGAAACGAAAAGAAACGCACCATCGAGAGCTGTGTTCCTAATGAAAATGTTTTCCGGCCGTATATACATTGTGTAAAAAGCCGTATTTGTATGGAAAAAAATCAATGATGGCCGGAAACGAAATACCCTTGAGTATAAATGTCGCTATTTAGAGGCGCAGTACGGATGCAGTACACCCTCGGCAAAGTCCGTCCATTGCACGCAGTCGCGTCGCAGCGTTACGATGCCTTCACTTTTGCGCCCACAGTTTATAATGATACTATACTTACAAGGTTTTCTTGTTTCGAGACCAGTTTCTTGTTCATGTCCTCACGATATTATTTCAATTTGACATAAGTCCGTATTGTATGCTAATGACAGAGTCGTTTACATACACATATTACCATCGATTGAATTTGTAGTCATTAAAACAGGTAACATTTACGTAAGTAACGATGCTAAGGAGATGAGTTTATTTTATGTTTAGAATGCCGAGAACCGGTGATGGACAGACCATGCCACCATGTATGAGATAATGCAATTATACTGCTGCCGCAACTTTTATGACCGTAGACAAAGACAGGAGGAAACAAAAGCTCAGTGTGCCACGTGGAGGCGCGCTGCAGGGACTTGGCAGTCTGTAATCCGTCCAGTTGTGGTGACCGATTCCACTTCCTATTATCACGTTATATTCACAAAGCAGCTATAATTGAATGGTGTATTTGGACCTGGAGCATTGCCAAGCGTTGTTGCGGAGTGAGGGACAAGAGGGTACAGTGGGGAGCGAGGGGGAAACAAGTTTATGCACGTATTATTTTAAAATTTTAAAAATAAGATTAGTTCGTGTTATATTTTCGTAAATGAGTGATAACGCTTGGCGTCGTATCGTACGCTTGTGCAAGCGCGGCGGGGCGCGGGGCGCGGCCCCTGACCTCTCGCAATCTAACACGTTTTACATAACATCGTTATTGGCACTTAACTAAAGTAAATTATTAACTTAAAAAGGAACAATTCGTCGTTAAGCTTTACGTGTTAGGATTTATGAGTGAGGAGTTTAACGCATTTTCCTTGATGAGCGTAGTGTGGGAGGACTCATTTCTAGTCTCTCTTACCGTTTCATCATTTTCTAATATAATATATTTGAAATAACTCAAAAACTACTGGATCGATTTCGAAAATTCTTTAATATATCCTCCGAAACAGATGGGCCGATTTTAACGAACCTTTCACTGGAGGCTTTAGACACTCATGCTAGAAGAAGAAAAAAAAGATTATGCTGACAATTCTGGGCCCGACAAAGAGAGAAGACGGGAGCTGGTGAATACGTTACAATCTAGAAACGGGAAGGCTGGTTGGAGAGCAAAACATCATAGGCGAACCTAAATCTCAGAGATGTCGCTAGTCGCGCCACTTATAGGAATGTAGGAGGATCGTGGAACTAAAAAAACGTATCTCGGGATACCGATCGGCCGCCGATTTAAGCACAATGTACTGCGGGTTCGCCGCTTGCGACTGGCAGTATATATCACAA